TGAGAAGCTCTTCCAGGCCACGGTGAGACTGACGTTCGATGAATAAATACTTGTGTGTGTTCTGTTTTCACTGTCTTTGTGTGTGTGTGTGTGTGTGTGTCCAGCAAGAGGAGGGAGGCGAGGTGCTGGAGTGGCTCGAGCAGACCGGCACATCGCTGGCCGGTGGGTACGGTGAGGCAGACGTGGGCTTGCAGGAGCTCACGATGGTCCTCACGGGGCTGCTGGAGGTCAGGTGGCGCGACGACAGCATATTGGAAGGTGTGTAGAGAACGAGATCTTGATCTCGAAAGGGTGCCTCGATTCATCCATCGTTACTGTGATGTGTTTGCAGTGACAAACGACATGGTTGAGCGATGCCTGTACCGCGGAGACCACATCGACCCCCGGGCCCTCACATCCATCCTGCTATCCCTCACCAAGTTCCGCTGCCCCGTGCAGCCACTTCTAGCCACCATCGACCAGGCCCTCGCACACAGCACATCGTCATCGCATCACAGCCCCTACGGCACGGCTCTCCCTCCCCTCTCGCTGAGTCACTATTCGGATCAGGCACTCGCCAACTTGGCATACGCGGTGGCCAAGGGCAGCTCGGGCAACTATGGCCACAGACGCCGTCCGCTGTTCCCAAACATCTGGCGGGCAATCAGCGACGAGGTATTGGACAGACTGCCGGCGCTGGACCCACCTTCGCTGCACGGACAGAGTGGTCGGCTTCAGCCGCCGTCGGATCGGCAGCAGGCGGTTGAGCGATATGCTGAGTGGGTGGATGGGGAGGCACTATGGGCCAGTGGGGTGGGGATGACTCACCGCGACGCGGCACGTGATGAGATGGGAGAGAATCAAGTCTGCTCGGAAGACGATGAGGAGACAGAGGACGAAGAGGTGTGGCTCATGCAAGGGGAGGAGATCGGTGTCGTCCGGGAAGACCTCCCTGAGCCAAGGAGGCCGCCGCGAGACGACACCGAGGTGTTTCTCGACGGATCCATCCCATCAGCCCCGCCTCATCCCCACACCAGTCCTCTCTATGCGCTACCTGAGCAAGATATGGAGCCAATCCAGGGCAACAGCCTCAGCGTGATCCTGTACAGCATGTCAGAGGCCCACATCGACCCTCACTTCTGCCAACGAGCCCTCGCAGCCCTCAGCCACCCACGGATCCTTCACACACTCACGCCGGTCGACATTGCATGTCTACTCCGAGCGCTGGCGGCCATGCAGTTTCGCAGCCTCTCTTTCCTCGAGCGCATTGCCGAGTTCCTGAGCGGTGGAAGCCGCAACCAGTGTCGGTTGGAGGAGTACGGCACCCACCAGTTGGCACAAATGGTCCTTGCACTGGGCCAGATGCGGTTTCACCACGAGGGGCTGCTGTCGGCGTTGGTGCTCGTGTTGGCTGAGAAGCTGGGGGAGTGTGGGCCCCGGAGGCTGACGATGATAGCGAGAGGGCTGCAATCTCTCAGGTACGGGCCAGCGGCCTTTCTCGACGCTCTCACGGCAAGCTTTTCACGCCCTGGGTAAGCAGCGTCGGACTGCGCATATTTGACAGACGACCATGGATGGTACGTCGTCTCGTTGGCTGTGTTCCACAGTTCCATGTCGAAGCTGGACTTGACAGCTGTGGAGTGCCTCCTCGACTACCTCTCCACCATATCCCACCCAGTTCCGCACAAAGCTTTCTTCACCGAGACGGCAGCGTTCCTCACCCAGCGGAGGTCCTCAGTGGATCCAATCCACCTACAACGGCTCGAGTCGACCCTCACAGTGCTGCAGGAGGCTGCAGATCAACACATGAGCCAACACCAGTATCGGTGCATGGAGAGAGAGAGGGGAGGGAGAGAGGTGAGATGGTTCGCAACCAGTGGTCGTGGCAGGAGCCGGACTAGTGCTTCACCGAGAAAGAGCATTCAGACGTTATTGCAGGTTTGATGCCCTATGTTCAGTTCATTGGCTTTTGAGTGTACACAGACATACATTGTTTCCTTTCGTGCATGGCGCATGCAAGGTTTGCAGAGGCCTAGGCGACTGTGCCATCATGTTGACCACCCCTGTCATGTGTTTGCATGTCTGACGGACGCCTGAGAGCCATTTGGGATGCTTTCAATCTATGCAAGAGAGGGAGTCGGATCGCGAGCTCAAAAAGGGTCCACCATTCTCGGCGGGAGAACGGGGGACATCCTTTGTGTGTTGTTCCACCCAACGGTGATGGCGCAGGCCCAGTCGTCAGCCGCGGAAACGACGACATGAACGATGGCTCATGGAGGCACTGTCGCAGCCAACTAAGGGTGGTGAGGGGCGTCAATGTGCTCTCCGGCTGGACGAACACACCTCCGTCGTCGGCCCCAGCTGTGAGAATACGCATGTGACACAACTGGACGGGCAGCAGGGAAGGCCCCAAGAGCTCGCCAACGAAGAGGCGCTTAGCGAAGAGATCCGCAGCGAAGAGATCCACAGCAGCGAGTGCCTCGTGGACCTTGGTCTTCAACAACAAGAGACAAATCCTTCGTGTCAAACTGATGGCTTCCGGGGCGCCTGTCGTCATGCGGCGTCACAGTCGATGAGCACTCATCTGCCGGACATCGATGAGGAGGGGGCGCAAGGGCCACCAGTCAGGGCCGAGGAGATGGCCATCCAGGCGATGAAAACGGAGTTTGAGAAGGCTGCCGGTAGGTAGAGTGAACGGGTTGAAGGGCACCCAGCATCCCTCTGATCCGCCAACCCGTTTATGTTTCATTTATTCAGGATACCCGGCTGCCTTTGAGGAGTTCGAATCGCACCTCGTCTACGAGCCAGGAGTGATGGATGACGGACAGACAACTCAAGTGCGGGAGGTGCTGATTGGCACTCGTTTTTCGCCTGAGCCTTTCATGCGGTCACTACAGCGCGCCATCCGTGCGGTCGTGCTGCAGGTGTTATATGCATTTGTCCTGGCCTTGCCAATGGTGGGCTCTGCTGCAAGAGAAAACGGAAGGCTTGAAGGAAACCTGTTCCAATCTATATTGTGCGTGTGCAGGTTGTCTGGCCGCTTGCCTTCTGGCACACCTGCAAATCCGAGAGGGCATCACTAGTCATCGCGTATGATTATGTACGGAATACGATTACCTTCTCGGTCCTCGTCGTGTACCTCCTGGCGATCGCTGAGGGACACCAAGGAAGTAAATTATTCAGCCGATTCAAAAAGACGTGGTTCTACTTTCTCCTCCCTGCAATCGCCCGCGTTGCCTTCACCCGCCTCTTTGTCGTGCCCGGATTGTGGCCCTATGCCGTGGCCCTTTGGGGGTGAGAAAGACACAAAGGCATCTTGAGAGCAAGCCTGAAGACAAATCTTTGGTTTCTCGTCAGGTTCGAGCATATATGCTACATCGTTCTAATCCCACTAACCTTGTATGCTCCAACCCGCATGCGAGCTCAAACATTTGTGTATCCGTACATGCCCTTTGTTCTCTCTTGCACCAGGTTTCGCCAGCTGGCGAGAGAGACACCCTCAGTGATCAAGAGACCGTGGCTTCACACCCTCCAACTGATATTCGTGTTCAGCGTCTCCTCAGCTGGCGTGTTTTTATGGGTTGCTATCTTCGGCCCAAGAGGCGAGAGGGCGGCGACAGACACCGAGAGAACCCGAGTGGCGTTCACATGTCTCATGAGTTTCTGGCCGCTGGTGGCACTGGTGAATGGGACTGTGCGAAAAATGCGGGATGGGCCGCCGCTGTACAATCATGCTGCTGCCCATTATCTCGTACGCGCTACACATGATACCCACAGAGTGACACATTGGCACATCGACACATTTCAGGTTTTGGGATGCTGTGTTGCTCCGCGCCTACTACAGGTCAGCAGCAATGAGATGGCAATCTGGCATCGGCGTTTTCGTATTGTTGCGTGTCTTCTTGTTCTTTATACAGGCTGAAATGGCTGCCCTGAGCAGCAAAATCATGTCGTCTCTGCTGTTCGCCTTCTACGACCTCATTGGCGATCTGGCGGTGCCCTATGCTGACATCCTCCACGCCAACGTCGCCCGCTGGCTCACGAGAACATGTAACGGCCAATCGACCAAGCCGACACGCAAGACACGCTGCCCAAACGCTGACCGCGATCGCCATATTGCGCATGTCGCTGACTTGCGCAGCAACAAGACGATTGCCACCGTGACATCGAACAAGAAGGGGACAGCCGCATCGTATAGTTGTGTCAGCAGTGAGGACTCGAGACGCTCGTCGAGTGAGGTCTATCAGAGTGTGGTGCGGGCGGGAAGGCGAATGCGGTCGACGAAATCGGCTCTCGACCTCCAGAGTAATTTCATTGCATTCGATGTTCGTCCGAGGTATCTTCGTGCGTTGAGGGACCAGCAGTACGGCTACAACCAGGCAGAGAGCCTGATACTGATCGTCATCAATCTGTCACTCATATCCATGGAGCAGCTGCTGTCTCCCTTCTCGCTGTCCCGGCTGTTGGAGAGGCTGGGTGGGCTGTGCCTCCTGGTGGTCATCGAGATGGCATGCGAGACCGTATTTTTCATGGTATCGTCGTGTGAGAGAGACATGATGATAGCAGCGAGAGTGGTGTGTTCCTTGTTGTGATTGTATTTGTTGTGATATAGGTGCAAGTCCGTTGGCATAATCTGCCCATGCTGCGGGCCGAGGAGGAGCCTGGCGTGGTAAAGTTCAGGCTGTTGACCTTGTTCGCCGTAGGTACTTCCCTATTTGCCTCCTTTTCACCCTGGCTCGTCCTTTTCTTTCTCCGTACCCTGCCTTCTTCCGTGTATGGAGACGTAACGCTGCTAGAATTTTGCCCACAGTCGGCCCACCCGAATATAGCACGCACGACATAGATTCAAGCCGATGCGACGGACATGTGTGCCATGATTGTTTTGTGTAAGGGAGACATGGTGACCACCAAATACTGGGGGACTATTTTCGGCGAGGGTTTTGGTGCGGGGGGGCGAGGCGATTTTTGGAAGTGCTTGAAGTGTGTGGTGCCGAAGTGCAATTGTACACTTAGGGAGCAGGGAAGAGGGTGCATAAAGGGAAAAAGGATTGACTGAGTTTGTTGTTTCCACGTAGAGTGTGTGTATCCATCTAGCAGATAGACGGGCATCCGTCGCCACGACAGATGCATCCACACACAAGGAAGGAAGAGATGTGGGAGCGCAAGGGAGGGAGGGAGGGAGGGAGGGAGGGAGTTGACGTACGTTGCATGTGCGCATGTGTGTCGTATGTGTGTGCACAAAGAGACGTGAGGGATGTGACCAATCATTCGCCTATTCACTCATTCTCTCGATCGACGGACGAGTCACCACACGCATCACACTCAAAAAGATGCGCTCAAATGCGCCAGAACACCATACAGGGAAACACGACATGGCGTCATGAGAAAGCGTATTATCGTGCAGGTCAGTCCATTCGGTGTTCCTTTCTTGCACGCTGTCTTCATTCCTTCACAACAAACCACCCTGCCTGCTTGCACCCGAAGCAAAATCAGCTCTCGCCAAGACCAAGACACACAAAAGAGCGGCCAGAGACAATATATGATATTGTCTTTCCGCTTCTCCACTTGCTTGATAAACAGTCTACTCACTTGTCCCGAACGAGCTAATCAAATGCACATGGCCCTCGATATGATGGACGAGGCACCTTCAGTGCGGGAAGGGCATGGCGGCCATGCCTTTCTTGACCGCCGGACGGGACCACATTCGCTCGATGTATGCCTGCACGTTCTTGTACTCGAGGAATTTGTCAGCCTGATGGATTATGTATATCGACACGCGACACACAACAGGTAGAAGGCAATGGACAAAGCGGCCATGTGTACAGTGTCGCGTGTGTGTGATGTAGGTAGGTAGGTACCATGCCGTAGAACTTGTCGACGCAGCTTCATGCCACACGCGCAAACAGCAGATAGCCACACAGTATGTGTGTCCCCATCAAATCACCCCATCACCCCACCCACCCACTCACATGAGCCATGGAAAGATGGCGAAGTCGGCGATGCTGCACACACGCAATGCAGGCACACACACACACGTACAAATGTGTATTTGAATACCACCCCTGCCGCAGCGGCCCCACATCTTCCTTGCCTCACCTGATGTCACCGCATACGTACTCCTTGCCCTCCAGCTGCGTGTCGAGCACCTTCCACAGCCGCTGGCCCTCGGTGAAATAACGCTGCACGGACCGGAAAGGGACACAGGGAGGGAGGGAGGACGCAGCGACGAGTCAAAGCGCCAGTCAGAGCGTACTGTGTGTGTGTGTCTGTGTGTGCCAAACGGGTCACCTCCTGGCCATAGGCGAGTTTCTCTTCAGGCTGGTTCTTGGCCGCGTGTCTGCGCAGGCACACGAATGTGTATCGTTCAATCCATCCATCCATCCATCTGTCTGTCTGTCTGTCTGTGGGTCTGTGGGTCTGTGGGTCTGTCTGTTGCACACTTACTTCCAGAAGTGACCCATCTGGCCCAACATCGGTCCTTCACAATACACACCCAACACCACCAACACCAACAGACACATTCGCTGTGCATAGCTATGTCTGTCTGTCAGCTATGTATGTCAGTGTGTCGATGTATGTGCGCCCACCGAGGCCTCCCATCTGCCACATGAGCCACTGGGTGACCTCGTATTTCTTGTGCAGGTCGGACGGCATGAACTTCCCACTCTTCTCAGCCAGATACAACAGGATGGCGCCTGCAGCACAGCAGCACACGACCGACCGATGTGCAAACACGCTGGCTGCATGTAAGTAGTTCGCCAACCCGCCCACAGACCTGATTCGAAGAGTGACAGAGGGCCGCCAGGTGCACCGTTGTCGACGATGGCGGGGATCTTGTTGTTGGGACTGATCCTTGGAACTCTGCGACCGACCATTCAAAGGCAGAACGAAAGGCATGTGTGGTGTGGTAAAGCATGCGTGGCGGTGCCGTGGTGTTCGTCCGTACCCGGTTTGAACTGGTCGTTCTTGCCGATGTGCACAAGGTGCTCCTTGTAGGGGATGCCCATCTCCTCGAGAGCAACAGTTATCTTCTGCCCATTCGGCGCTGGCAGGTTGCAGATAAGGAGCCCAGACCCATGGGTGAGGTCTCTCTTTCGTGTGCAATTCGCTTACTTCCGATGCTGTACAGGTCAATCGACATGGTGCTGGGGCGCTGCAGTAGCCGTGAGAGAGATGGCACGACCTCGGGCAGAACTGATCTGATGAAAGATCTGATGGTGACAGGCTTGTCGACAGGCAGCGTATCTGCGTGCCGAACCTGCGCCGGTAAGAAACAAATTGAATGTATGATGAGCTCGGAAAGGCTCCTTTGCTGTCCTTCGATTCATGTAAGTGGTTACACAGACTACCCTTTGCGCAACACAAGACTCATTATAAATCCAACACCTCACACACACGCTGCGTCCGGGACTCCGACCAACCAGGGCCGACGAATCAATCCCTCGCCTCACAAGATGCGTACAAAGCCAAGGGGCACAACAAAGATAGACTCAACTCTCAACAATCACATCAATCAATCCCTCCATCCATCACAAATGCTACGCACCTGTCATCTGCCCAGGCCCCTCCCAACGCATCTCGCACTGACAAACTCTTTCGCCCACACCCTCACTGACACACCCACCCACCCACCCCAGCCAGCCTTCTTGCACATGGGTTGCCCTCACAGAACCGTGCACAAATATCACTGCACCCAAGCGTATCCTCCTCTCTGGCGCAGTCCGCCTCGCCCAGCAAAGCAAGTGCGTCACACGTCTTGCAGTAGGCCGTCGGGTCCTTCTCGTACTCCGAACAGCCCGTGTTGGTGTGCCGCTGCTGTGAGTTGGCCTCTGAGAGGACCACAAAACTGCCAATCACTTTCGGCGTCGCGCCTATGGTCTCCTTGGCTTTGATGCCCAACACACGCTCTACACACACACACACAGAGAGAGAGAGAGAGCGAAAGAAGGAGAGATGGTGAAGTATATAATCGGATATGTCATGCCATAGCAGTGCGTACCACGCTTGTCGTCGTCAGTATCTTGCAGAGCCCGTCGAGAATCTCCGTCTTCGGCCTCTTCTGCCTGTCCTGGTGTCCCGCTGCCAGCTGGCGGCCACTGCAGTACCTCGATTTTGTCTGCCTCACGTTCAGGAGCCTCAGGATCAGATCCCCACCTGCACAGCACCCACACAAATGAGGGACTCGTCATCGTAAGCCGATGTATGCACTTGTGTATGTGCATCTGCCTCTCCCTCTCTCCGTCCGCCTACATGAATGCGAAGCACGACGGCACGTCCGACTGGATGCTTTCCGCGTCGTCAGGGGCCATGTCATATCGACCCGACCCGTCGACCGCCGTGAGATTGACGTACGTGTGCAGCGGCTCGATCAGCCCCCAATCCTGTGAGGACACCTCCGCCTCGACGCCAAAGCGATTGGCAGCAAAGAGAGACAGGCGGCTCTCGTCGGGACTCTTGGCGTTGTAGTCGATCACCAGCCTGGCGCGACGGGCGTCCTTCACCTGGCGAGTGAAGTCGGTGAAGCTCCGATAGAGGCGGGCGGGGATCTGCAGGGTTCGCCGGGTGGCGCCGTTGCTCTGCTCGTTGCTCTGCTTGGACGCCAGCGCACTCAGCCACACGCACTGGCGCTCGAATGTGCGGTCGCTTCCCTCATTAGTGGCCGGGCGTGCGGGCACTGCATCGCCAAATCCCGCCGGGCACTGTCGGATCCATGAGGGAGCCTTGCAGTCTCCCCGTTTCGTAAACTTCTCCATCTCCGTCCAGAGGCTCTGATGAAGGATCCAGCCTTCGCCCTCCCACTCGGCCGTCACATGGTCGATTACATAATCTGCCAGCTCATCCTTGTCAGGCGACTGCTCCGCTGTCACCACAAACGCCTGCTGGAACTTGCCATCATTCTCGGGTTTGGGCTTGGTCATGATCGTCTTCAGGGCCTGAACGGCATAAGAAGGACAGGATGCTCGATAGATACACAGACAGTAGTGTTCATGGCCCCGTCTGCCTCACTGACCGTGTATGCCGCGGCTCCGCTGGAAGTGTTTCTGAAGACCTCCACACGGTAGCGCGGCGCTGCCGCAGTGCTGTCGGCCTCCTGCCCCGCACTGCTCATGAGGTAGAGCGTACAGTTGAGCATGACAAACTTGGGCTGGAGCTCCGGTGGACCCTTCCTCGCCCGACACACGGTGCGCTTGGTATCGTAGATGGGCTCGAGAAAGACCCGCAGGTCGTTCGGCGTGCCGGTGCTCTGCCAGTTCGGGTCGTCGCTCTGCGCAGCGAGGCAGCAACGAACACGACATAGCAAAGGTCTCTCTGTCCAGTGAGTGTACGTGCTGCCTTACGATGCCTGCTCCCCATTTGGCGGCGTCGTCCTGCAGCTGGCGAGCATCAGATGCCGGCGCCTCGCTGGTGGAATGCTCATCTGCCTCAAGCAAGCGGGAAGTGACCGGCTCTTCCAGAGTCAAATCAGCGTGCAAACCTGACAAACACGAGACATGAATGACAATCTACACTGCAGCTTGCTTCATGAACCTACCCATATCCCCACTCCCTCACCGGTCAGGGGGATGTTGCCGAAGTTGTCCGAGCCGTTGAAGTAGACGATGCTCTCGTTGTACTTCTTGATGGCGTCCTGAGAACACATTTTCCATTCACCCATGCATTCTACACTAACTCTACTTCCTGTACCTTGAAAGAAAAAGAATCGAGCTCGTCGGCAGGCATCACCCGCTCCACCTCGGCCTCCAAGAACTGCAGCAGCATACCCATGTCCACCGGATTCACTATCTCCCCGCTAAATAGCGACGCCTGGCGGCCTCGCAGGCTGTCGTCGGCCCTCTGGTAAGCCGTCCGGATGCGATCGACCTCCTTCGTATCGACGCAATCGTGCAGGCGTTTGGTCAGCGTCCTCTGGCGTTGGGCGAAGGCTTTGCGGAACTCCAGGATCTTGTAGAGGTCCACGATGGCGAGAGTCATCAGGCGCTCTTTGCGCACGTACAAGTCCATCGTCGCCAAGGCGATCTTTCTGGCGTACTCCAATGGCGGCGTCGCCGTGCCGTTCGGCTGTGTGGGTCTCAGCGACTTCCAGTCCCAGCCAGTGCCGCTGATGAGGGTCTCGCTGCCTGGACGCGTACACGCAGAACAGAAGGAGGACCATGATTGATATTGAAAACAGACATGATTCTGACTAGCTGTCTTTCTGTGCATGATATGGGTGGTATTCACCGACCGAGAAAGAAGTGTCCTTGTGATGCGAGGGCCGTTGTGACTTCATAAGACGCCATCAGGCATGCGTCGAATGACAGCAGGTCGAAGCGAAAGTCGTCAGGCATGCCCGCGTCCTTAGCGCCGTTCTGAGCAAGAAGACAAGACACCATCAGTGAAAGAAGAAGTATCGTTGGCATAGAACGGTCAGCGTGGCTTACTCTGATGTTCGTTTCTAGAGCCCAGAGATTCATCAGCGAATCCCAGTTGCCGTGGCTAGAATCGCCGCCGAAACTGCACACACAACACCCACCCATGCTTCGATACATGCCTTGCTGTCCATGGTGCTTCACCCTTTCCGGCCGACGCCATGATCCCATAAAGTGAGCGCGTAATGCTCTGCGGGGAACTCCTTCAAGGCGCCCGCGATGAATTCCTGCACACATCACACACACAAACGGGAAGGGGCCATCGTCATCTGGGAAGGAAGCGGCATGTCTTGACGCCGTCTCGTCTGACCCACCCGGAGCACTTGGCCGTCGTCCATGTTAGATTCTTCTAAGTCCCTCTTCAGAAGCCAGCGGCGCCGGCTGGTACTGTTCTGGTTCTCATACGGGTCGCCAATCATCAGTAGCTCATAAGCCCCGGAAAACTGCTGCCTTGCCTGAACCAACCGACGCCATCCAAGTACAGAACGAATGAGGCATCCATGCTCTTCTATCGGTCGGGATGAAGATGACTGGACGTGCGTGCATGTATGTATGCATACCACTCTGGCATTGACGTCTGAGGTGGCATTTGGACAGATGACCATATCGTGGATCGCCCTATGAGACGAATCCTCCACCTCAGGGTCGGCGCGGTCGACGAGCACCAGCAGGTTGAAGTCGCTCTTGGGGATCTGAAGCATCTCCTTTAAGTCACTCATGGCATAGCTCTCCAAGTTATTGTCCTGATGATACCAGCACACACACACGGACACACGAGATGACGAAAGCGTCGTCTCCCCTGACATGGCATCGTGCGTCCCACTTACCGCGTTCATATACACGAGATGCGTCCAGTGAGCCTTCCTCCTGCTGCTGAGGCGCTCCTCCACCCCCGCGCAGAAAGTGGGCGGTCTCAGCTGGTACTCCCACTTGGGACTGTCGCATTCAGGCAATGTGTACGAGCCAGTTGCCGACTGGTCGGCACATTCCTCCCTTGGATGGATCGGGCACGTCGGCTTATCGTCGTTTGACCGCCTCCGGCACTCTTTGATGCACCGGCACCCACCGTTCGTGAAGACCTGCTCGATGCCCCCTTCGACGCACGCATCGTAGAACTGGCCAAGGATGGGCCCCTCGCACGTGCATGGGCCCTTGCCGCAGTCCTCCTCCCGAACGATGCAGAAGCGCTCCAGACCGGGGATGTTGAGGCCCTCCTTCTGGCAGCTCCTCTCGATGCATGGACAGCCTCTGAGGGAGAACAAGACGGTCCGCGCGGCGCATTCGTCGCCCTCGCACGTCTCCACCCGTTGGACGGTGCAGTTCTCTGTCTCAACCGAATCTCCGCATGGTTCCCCACCATTTCGCGCCTCCGTGATCGTAGTACGGTTGCGCGTCCGCTGCCCGTCACATTGGCTCCACTCGCTCCATGCTGACTGCTCACAGTCGGTGACGTCGTGGTAGGTCTCTCGCGCCTTGAGTGTCGCCTTGTAGACCTCGTTGGTGGGTATGGTGACGCGGCCCTGGCCGAGCTGTGCCAGGTGCATGCCGCCAATCAGCCACAGCTCGTTGATGCGAATCGTCAGCCCGAAGAAGGCGCAGGGCGAGAAAGGCTTGGTCTCCTTCGCCAGCAGCTCTTTCCACGTCTTGCCGCCGTCAGGAGAATACCTGACCAACAAGTCGGCACACACGAATGGGCAACAAGATGCAGTTGTGTTCTCCGTGTCATCGTGGCGTTTGTACGCACCAGATGTCGTTGAGGTATTCGTCCATGCCTGCGTCAGAGATGGTGGCCCCGCCGATGACCAGGAGGCCGCCATGAAAGAATCCCAACCCACCAAAGCCATAACGGGGAGGCCAGGAAGCCGACTTCGTCACCTCAGACCACGTCACACCTACACACAGCGACAGATGAATAGAAAAACAAGAGGAATGCAGACAGACCATGTGCGCGCCTGTGCCTCTATGGATATGCCTCACCGAGGTCATCGGACCTCCACACGTCGTTGTAGAGGTCGCTGAGGTGTCCCTCGCTCAGCCCCTCGCCCCCCATGACATACACGCTCATGTTCTTGCCCTCACTCCCGCCCGGCCAGCCCGTGACGGCGGTCTGGAACAGCCGTCGTCCCCTCCACGGCGCGCGGCGGCTCAGCAGCTCCCAGTCGATGCCGTTGGTTGACCGCCACACGTCGTGCTGGATGCCCTTGGCCGTCTGGCCACCCAGCAGGAGAAAAGTCGCGTTCGTGGAGTTCTCGGGGCCCGGGATGACGACCAGCTGGTGGCCTTCGCGTGGCTTCCACGGCGCTTCGTCGACCAGTGTGCGCCAGGTGGTGCCGTCGCGGCTCACCAGGACGTCATTCAGGTAGCGGGAAGGGGGGTCGCCTTCGATGCCCGAGATGTCCAAACCACCTGCCACACAAACACAGAAGGGAGGAATTGAGTGATGGCCCATGTCTGTCTTCCTGAGCACACCTGTGACAAGGAACCTGAAGGGCGCGTCCGCACTTGGATGGACGGCCGCACCAAAAAAGGATCTGCGAGTGAGTTTGGTCTCGTTCTTCTGCGGCGCCAGCTTCCATCTGCGTGGCCCGACGCCATCGGTGGTTATCCACACGTCGTCGAGGCTGGTGTCGTGGTAGATGAGCGAGCCGCCCATGACCACGACGGCCCGCGACGCGCTCAGGGCGCTGAGGCCGTACCGCGGCATGAATTCGGGCGGCGGCAGCTGCTCGAAGGACGTGTTCTTGATGGTGAGGGTGGGCACTGTGGTGGTGTTCTGCTGGAGCCGCCGACTTTTGGTTGCGATGGCAGCCGTCGTGTCCTGTCGACACTCGGCTGTATGCATGTGTAGGTATGGAGGGCCGCACGCGGATTGCACGGCTGCGGCCGGTGACTCCCGAGTGACGATGGAAGACGGAGACGTTGACAAGTCATGAAGACCACCTGAACAAGGCATGCAGACAATCATGAACACCGAGATACATCATGCGTCAGTTTCACTTGCATGTGAGTGGCCCCTAGCCTCCCAGATCGGTCCCTCACTCACTCACCGTTGGGCCACGACCACAAAAGTGCACACAGGCCTCCAGCAAAAAGAAGCAGGGCCACCATAAATGTGAGAGAAGAGCTGAAAAAGGAGTCGTCAGGCGGCGATGTGACCACCACCTTGATTGTTCCCCCAAGATCTGCCTCGTGCGTGTCGTCATGCTCGGTGCTCGTGGTGCTGTTGTGCCCGAGTGCTCGCTTGGGCCCCTCTGCCTCCCTATGGTGTGGACGAACGGATCTCCCTTGTGATCACCCATGGGTGCCGGCTTCTTTCTGAGCTTGTTGGCTACTCGTCTCTTGGCGTTCTTGGCCTTCGTCCACAGACGCGATCAAGGACAGGAAGGGATAGATCTGACTCATTGGCGGGCTGGAGGATCCGCTTGAAGGGAATCAGTGCAGAAAAGAAACGACGCTGGGATTGCACCTTCGCGGCTAGACGCCTTCGATTGAGTGCGTCTCACTGGGTTCCCCTCCCTTTCGCACGTTTGAGCTCGCATTTGGTGCGGCTTTCGGCGTCGTTTCCCTCTCCCGTCGTTGGTCAAGAGGCTGTCCGTTCCCTCTGTGGGTTGACACAGCAGCGGCGATTGCGTCATTCAACGATGGCAGTGGAGCATCTGGCCCTGCGGGTGGTGTTTGCCACCAATGTGGTCGGTAAGTGAGGGGGCTCCTGTGTGACAACAGAAGACGGCCTTTGAGACGTCTGTATATGTGTCTGTCTCCCTGCGTGTGCGCAGCCGGAGGGAGCACTGGTCTAACTTGCCTGTGGGCTCCGAAGTTTGCCGCAAAGTAAGTGCGCGGACAGAACACTACCTCCCTGCGTGGGAATGCTTACTAACAGGCATGTGTGTGTCTGCTGCCTACAGCCAGCTGTTCTCGGGGAGTATGGTTCCCAACCTTGCGCTGAGTATCCTCGGCATCTTCATCACGAGCATCGCCATCCTGTCTGCGTGTGGCATCTATAGCCCGCTGCCATTCGCCTCCATCCTGCTCATCTCGGTGAGTGCACGACTGCACCAGTGAAGTGAGTCAGGTAGACACTGTGAGTGAGGGCATGTTGCACGTGTGTGTGTGTCAGGTGCTGGTCAAGGTGCTGTTTCTCGTGTTCTTTGCTTTGCCGTGGCTGGTACGCGGTCGCAAGGGAGGCATGGGAGGATTTCCCGTCCCCTTTACTTTACTCAACGTGCTGGGGCTTGTCATCATGACTCCCTTCATACCCTGGGGCTACCTCTTCGCTCTTTGAGTGAGTACCCATGCATAGGGGTGCTGATGCGGCGTGGATGGGGCAGACAGAGATGTTTTTCTAGCCCGAGGGCATCCAGCGAGTGGCTGAATTGTTGGCCACAATTGATGCCACCTCCCTCCTCATCGCGAGGTTACATCATCGATTTTTGAGGAGCTACGTGTTACACTCACCGATTTTTGCAGCACCACAGAGAGGAGTGAGTCAGTCGATCTGTCGGTTCAGGAGTGAGC